ACAACAAGCTGCAATGAAAACAAGCTGAAATGAAATAAAAGTAATGACTTTCTACTTCTTGTCTTTTATAAAATGTAAGGAGTAGAAAGTAGGCTGAAAAATAATTACTCAAGTAAAGTACAGATAACCAAAAATTCTACTTAAGTACAGTAACAAAGTATTTGTACTTAGTTACTTTACAGCTCTAGTTACAACTAATCATGGATCCCTTTAAAGACCCGTCGGATGTTAGCGTGAAGAGTGTGACTCTGCCTGAGCAGCCGAAGCTTCAGAGCCTCAGCCGAAGAAGCAGTAATTGAATAAAGTGGACCTGAGAGTCTGACTTCGGCTCGTTGACTCATTGTTCCCGGTGAATAAGCGACTCAACACCTTCGCCGCTTGGAAAGCAGCCTCCGATGACACAAAACCGCTTTCCTCGTTCCAGCCGCCCACCAGCGTGTTTTTTAAATTTAATTTTTTATTTCTTTGATTCCTGAAAGGCTTGGCGCCGCTCCGCTTTTTCCCCCGCACGCTGGAAGCGCCGGCTTCTTTTGCCCCCAGAACTCAGCTGAAATCTGCTCCGGCCCGGACCAGATGGCGGCGTTCACGGAGAGCTCCGTCACTCCTGTTCCCCGCCATATGACGCTCCGAGTCCGGGAGCCGGCTCAGGCCCCTCCCCCTTCCAAAGACCGGGGCTCTGCTTCAAGGTGGCTCCAGTCCAGCGGCGAGCCAAGTCCCTGAAGAAAAACAGATTTTTATATTTAGTCAAAGTCTCGGCTGCGAGGAGAGGACGGCTCTGAAGAAATTTGGCTGCAGCGCGCGGGGCCGTGTTTCCGGGTGCAAATTTATTCACTGTGAAATTCATCGGGACGAGGGACGTGTGACTGGACGGAGGCCTGCGTCCAGACGGGACGGAGACCAGGCTGTCCAGACTTCTCCTCGGCTACTTATACAAGTTTAGAGCTGAGGATCTGTGAGGAGAAGGGAAACAGCAGGAGAGTTTTTACACATGCAGGAAGGAAAAACAGCCAAAAATAATAATAAAATAAAATAAAAAAACACGACGAGAGTTTTCCTCTGAGCTTCAGCTGTTGGTGGAAAAAATGTTTTATTTCTCCATTTATTCAGCTGAACAGGTGAGCAAGTCCTCCTGATAAAAACTACAGACAGACAGCCGAAGCTTCGGCTGTCAGTCTGTAGTTTTTATCAAAAACTAGTAAAACATTTAAAAGCTAAAACCTAAATTTAACAACAGTGGCTACAAGCTAAGATTAGCAAAGCTGTAGTTCAAACCTGCAGCCAGTAAAACAGTAAATAGTAGCTAAAATGATCAAAACTGTAAAACTAAATTTAGCACAGTTGGTGCTAAAAGCTACGATTAGCTTTTAGCTATTAACCATTTATTACATTTATTATTAATATTTTATTACATGTTCAATAAAGTCAAAGTCAAACCATTGATTAATTTTTTTAGATTTTAGCTAATGTTATGAAAACCTTATTTAATTCCTTAAATGTAGCACAAAAGTAGCTAAAATAATCAAAACTAAACATAAATTTAGCAGTTTGTCCTAAAAACTATGATTAACAAAACTATCTTAGCTTTTAGCTATTGACTATTGCTTTTTTTTAGATTTTAGCTAACATTGTGAAAACCTTAATTGCTTAAACACAAAAGTGGCTAAAATAATCAAATGTAGCTACAGTGTTAAAACAGCTAAAAGCTAAGATTTAGCACAACTGTAGCTAAAAGTCTTGATTAGTAAACAGTAGCTTAAAGAACAAACTAATACAGCATTACAAGCTAAAAGTAGCACAACTGTAGCTTAAAGCTATGATTAGGAAGACTGTAGCCAAAAGTAAAAAAAAAACAGCCTAAAGGAAGCAAAACCTTAGCTTTTAGCTATTAACTGTTGTTTTATTGCTTCAGATTTTAGCTAATATAAAAAAAACATACTTGGTTGCTTAAACTTATCACAAAACAGCTAAAATAATTCAAATAGTAGCTAAAACTTAAGCCCAACATTATTAGCGGAACAGTTGTTTTTGTTTTGTTTACACTGAGTGTGTTCCCACAGGATCAGCTGAGTGAACTTTAATCCACTTAATAAACTTTATTTTTTATTATAAATTAATAAAAAGCAGCTTTAAATCATCAGAGTTCAGTGAGTCAGACTTTTCTGTCAGGTGGACAGAAAAATGTCTGTAAATGAAATGTTTCACAATAAAAGTCTGTAATTTCACAATAAAAGTCTGTAATTTCACAATAAAAGTCTGTAGTTTTACAATAAGTCTGTAGTTTTACAATAAGTCTGTAGTTTTACAGTAAAAGTCTGTAGTTTTACAGTAAAAGTCTGTAGTTTTACAGTAAAAGTCTGTAGTTTCACAAGTCTGTAGTTTTACAATTTCTCATAAGTCTAGTTTCACAATAAGTATTTCACATACGTCTGTAGTTTCAAAATCAAAGTCTGTAGTTCTGTGGTTTCAAAATAAGTCTGTAGTTTCTCAATAAAAGTCTGTAATTTCACAATAAAATTCTGTAGTTTCATAATAAGTCTGTAACTTCACAATAAAAAGCTAAATTCACGATAAGTCTAGTTTCACTATAAAAATCTGTAATTTCAAATAAAAGTCTGTAGTTTCACTATAAAAGTCTGTAACTTCACATTAAAAGTCTGTAACTTCACATTAAAAGTCTGTAACTTCACATTAAAAGTCTGTAACTTCACATTAAAAGTCTGTAACTTCACATTAAAAG